TCCAGAAAAATCCAAAAAAAGTCCGAGAAAAAGTCCAAGAAAAGTCAAGGAAAAGTCCAAGAAAAAAAGTCCAAGAAAGTCCGATAAAAGTCCAAACCAGAAAAGTCCGAGAAAAGTCCAAGAAAAGTCGAGAAAAGTCAACCAAGAAAAGTCCAAAAAAAAAGTCCGAGAAAAGTCCAACCAAGAAGAAGTCCCGAGAAAAGTCCAAAAAAGTCCGAGAAAAGAAAAAAAGTCCGAGAAAAGTCCAAACCCCAAAAAAAGAAAAGTCCAAGAAAAGTCCGAGAAAAAGTCCGAGAAAAGTCCAACGCAAGAAAAGTCGAGAAAAGTCCAAGAAAAAGTCCGAAAAGTCCAACCAAGAAAAGTCGAGAAAAGTCCGAAAAAGTCAAGAAAAGTCCGGAAAAGGCTCCAACCAGAAAAGCTCCGAGAAAAGTCCAAGAAAATCGAGAAAAGTCCAACCAAAAGAAAAGTCCGAAAAAGTCCAAGAAAAGTCCGAGAAGAATGGTCCAACCAAGAAAAAGGTCCGAGAAAAGTCCAAGAAAAGTCCGAGAAAAGTCCAACAAGAAAAGTCCGAGAATAAGTCCAAGAAAAGTCCGAGAAAAGTCCGAGAAAAGTCAAGAAAAGTCGAGAAAAGTCCAACAAAAGTCCGAGAAAGTCAAGAAAAAGTCCGAGAAAAGTCCAAGAAAAGTCCGAGAAAGTCGAGAAAAGTCCAAGAAAAGTCCCGGAAAAATTCCCGAGAAAGTCCGAGGAAAATCCGAGAAAAGTCCAAAGAAAAGTCGAGAAAAGTCGAGAAAAGTCCCGAGAGAAAAGTCCGATTTAAAAGACCGAGAAAAGTCTGAGAAAGTCCAAGAAAAGTCGAGAAAGTGTCTCGAGAGTTGTCTTCATCATCAGCGACAAAAGCCACACGCGGAACAACAGACTTGAGACTTCAAAGGGAAAAAGAGAACAGAAAGCGAAGATGAAGTCGAGACGGAGATAGGTAGATGGGTAGACTGAGAAAGAGAGAGATGAAGAGGGAGAGAAGGAGAGAGAGAAAGAGAGGGGAAGTGGGAAAGAGGGAAAGGGGAGGAGAGGGAGGAGGGAGAGAGAGAGAGAGAGAGAGAGAGAGAGAGAGAGAGAGAGGAGAGAGAGAGAGAGAGAGAAGAGAGAGAGAGAGAGAGAGAGAGAGAGAGAGAGAGAGAGAGAGAGAGAGAGAAAGAATGAATAAAAACAAAAAATTTGAGAGGAAAAATAAAATAAAAGTTTGTATTTTGAAAACGAATAGAGTTTTCTTTGAAAATTCGGACAATTTGCCAATAGAGATTTTCTTTTGTAGTTGATGTGACAAGAAATGTATACAAATTTTATATCAGACGAGGACGAAAAATGCTGATTTGAATAATACAGGAAGAGAGAGAGAGAGAGAGAGAGAGAGAGAGAGAGAGAGAGAGAGAGAGAGAGAGAGAGAGAGTGAGTGAGTGAGTGAGTGAGTGAGTGAGAGAGAGAGAGAGAGAGAGAGAGAGAGAGAGAGAGAGAGAGAGAGAGAGAGAGAGAGAGAGACAGACCAAAGAAAGGAGAGAGAAAAAAAGAGAGAGAGAGAAAAGAAACACAAAAAAAGAAAAGAAAAAAAGAAAAACAAAGAAGAGAGAGAGACACGCAGCCAAGAGATCGGAACAAGAGATAAAACCAGATGAAGACAACCAAAAGAAGCAAAGAACAGACGTCAAAAAAAAAAGTAAAAAAAAAAAAAGTAAAAAAAAAAAAAAAAAAAGTAAAAAAGAAATACCATGAAACAAAAGGAAACGACAGAGCAACCATTGCCGATCCGCCACACTATGGGAGGTTGAAGAAGTTGAAGAAGAAGTTGAAGAAGAAAGAAGAAGAAGTTGAAGAAGTTGAAGAAGAAGTTGAAGAAGAAGAAGAAGAAAGAAGTTGAAAGTTGAAGAAGTTGAAGAAGTTGAAGAAGTTTTACAAAAGGAACAAACCTCCTCTTTGTGAAACCGCAACTGTGAAAAGGGTAAAAGCAGGATGGAATAAAAGAGGAAGGGGACGAAAGGGGGAAAGAGAGAGAGAGAAGAATGGGAGAAGGAGATGAATAAATGGGAAGAAAAGGGGGTAATCAGACCAAACAGAAGAAGAAGGAGAGGAAGAAGGAGAAGAGAGAGAAGAAAGGGAGGAAGGAGGGAAGGAGGGAAGGGAGAAAGAAGAGGGAAGAGAGGAGATGAATAAATACGAAGAAAAGGAGGTTAATCAGACCAAACAGAGAAGAAGGATAGAAAGAAATCACGAAGAAAGGAAGGTAGAAAGGAAGGAAGGAAAGTAAACGGGAAAAATGAAAAGGTTACGAGAATGACGAAGGAGGAAATGAAGACGAATAGAAGCTAATAAAGAAGTGAGAAACAAAATAAATCAGAATAAACAAACAATGAGAACGAAAGAGACGGCAAGAAGAAAGGAAGAAAGAAAGATTAACAAGTTTTTTTTTCTAGAAAATGGTGGAGTTTGCGTGCCCCCCCCCCTCCTT